AACTATACAGTATAATCAGTACTCACTGTTGCAAGGTATCTCTTCTGATCTGCCACGTTTTGAATCTCTAAACAATCATGTAACTTTTTATACTTAAAACACCATAAATACTGAAATGCTAGGTTTTGAGTTTATTATTTCTCTCTCTTTGCTCTTCAGATGAGTTCCACAGATGACTGTAGAAAATGTAGCTTGATTCAATTAATCTCCCATTTTATGAATACTAGACACCAGGAGACAGAGCTGCATTCCAACAAGATATACTCAGAATTATGGGAATTGGGCTAAACAACATGGTAAAACCTGCGTATTCAGGAAATACAGCTCTCCCACAACCCTAACTAACCTAGAGTAAGTTTAACTATGTTTAATTGTGAACTGAATTTTAAATGTTTTTCTGTTTTAGAATACTATAATTTGTGATATTTTTTTACTCCTGCATTTGGAACTAATTGTGTAGGCAAAGCATCTAAAGAATACCACTGAATCACAGAATCATAGATTCTCTTGAGTTGCCAAAGACCCACCAGACTCATTGAAGTCCAACTCTTGGCCCTGCAAAAGACACCCAAAGAGTCACACCATGTACCTGAAAGTACTCTCTGAACACTCCATGAACTCAGACAGACTTGGTGAAGTAATCACTTCTCTGAGCAGCCTGTTCCAGTGCCCAAGCATCCTTTGGAAAAACTTTTTCCTGATGTGTAAACTAAACATCTCCTGACTGAGCTTCATGCCACTTCCTTGAGTCTGGTCAGTGGTCACCACAGAGATCAGCACCTGTTCCTCTGTTTCTCCTCATGAGGATATTTAAAATTGCAATGAGAAGTCCCCTCAATTTCCTCTTCTCCAAGCTGAATAAACTAAGTGACCTCAGCTGCTCCTTATAAGGCTTTCCTTACAAACCCTGTAGCATCTTCATAACCCTCTGCTGGATACTCTCCACCATGTCTTTCTTATATTGTGGTGCCCAAAAGGGCGCATATTATTCAAGGTGAGGCCCAATCAAGTGCAGAGCAGCGTGGGACAATCACCTCTCTCTTGATGCTGGGCCTGGTTTGCGCTCTTTCCTGTCAAGGGACATTACTGACTCATACTCAACTTTGCATTGACCAGGACCCTCGGTCCCTTTCCACAGCACTGCTCTCCAGGCTCCCTCTCCCTGGCCCATGCACACATCCAGGGCTGCCCCATCACAGATGCAGAATCCAGCACCTGACCTTGTTAAGCTTCATACAACTGGTGACTGACCATCTCTCCCACTTGTTGAAGTCTCTCTGCTGGGCTTCTCTACTGTTAAGGAAGACAACAGCATCTCCCAATCTAGTGTCATCTCTAGACCTACTTTCAGGTTCTGCATCCAAGTTGTTAATGACTATGTTGAAGAGAATGAGCTAAGGATGGAGCCCCATGGAGCCCCACTTGTGACTGGACACCAGCCTGTTGTCACCCTATTCACCATAATCTTTTATGCCTGATTCATGAGCCAATTGCTCACCCATTGCATAATATGGCTATTCAGCTGCAAGCCAAACATTTTGTCCTGAAGGATACTCCCAGAGGCAGTATCAAAAGCTTTGCTGAAGTCCTAAAAGATTACATCAACTGGTTTTCCTTGGTCACGTAGGCAGGTTATTCTGTGATGACATGTGTACAGAAGTAAATATGAAGATATACAGATGACATTTACTTCCCTGTAAGACTGTCTTTTACGTACATTTTTTTTCTTTTTAGGGGGGCTGTCTGCGATTGACATTTCCCCATCCAGCCCACATGAGGGTTTGGAACTTTCCTTTTACATCAGGTTCTGAGTTAACTGAGCATCTTCTTTAGCGGTGTCCCAACTGTGTTTTCAACACCATCATCTCTTCTTATGCCAGTCCTTATTTTGCAAGTCTGCAAACAACTCTGTGCACACTTTTTTCCCTCAGTCAGTCATTCTGCTCCCTTATCCCTTTTGTTCTGCCAGATGAATCACTCTGGATGCTAATATACTGCTCTCTGCTGTAAGGTAGGTGAATATGAGATGCTGGCATGGCCTAACTGCTCAAATGTTGCATGACATTGTTTGAAAGATATGAAGGTATGGTTATGCTAAATAACAGCAAAGGCTTTCATGTGTCACCTATTTTCTTTTGAGTTCCCTATTTTCCTATAAAATTGTTAAGACTCTACGCTAAAAACTCCCAAAATACAATTTTTCACAAAGTTCCCATACCGGAAAATAGAAAAGGAAACCAAATAGAAATGACAGCACCCATAAGCCTTGACTAATCAGATGTCTTACTTCTGCACTAACTAGTCTATTTAAAAATTGAAAATTTACCTATGCAACTAAGAGATTAAGAAAGGATTAAGATTAAATAATACATTGTATATTCACTGGGCACCAAAAGATGCATACAGTTGGTAGTTAATATATCTTCAGCAATTAAAAATTCAGCTATATGAATATTGCAGTAATTTATGTTTCTTAATTATTTATCTCAAAGTGGCAGAAAATACCACTATTTAAAAATAGCATATGAGATGCAAGTCATGAAAAATTGATGTGAAATAGCAATCTGACTTGAGCTAACTTTAAGCAAAACTATTAATGCAAAAAAACTCACCAAATTCAAGTCAATGCAAAAAGAAATTTAATTTGTTCCACCAATTCTTAAGTCTCAGTTTTATTCTCTCTGAAGTATACTAGCAAGCTGTATAAATTCAAAACAAAACGAAGAAAAGATAAAAAAGAGAGAAATCAAATCACAATGGAAAAAACTAAGTTCTTTCTGAACCACTCTCTTTTCTCTTCTGTTTCCCCCTCTAATCTTTCATTTTCTGCTACACTCCCCCTCCCAAATTTCCCAGTGAAAATAAATGTCGGATGGCATTCTCTTAAGTCAGAAAAATAATCTCTAACTGCATTTTACTGTATTTGCTGGTTAATATATCTCCACAGTGAAACTAACATTTAGAATCTATCATATCAACATAGTCATCATGATCCAAGCTGCAAATAATAGAGGGTGTCATTGTCAATTTTGCTTTCTCACACTTCCTTCCCTTCACTTCATCTGATTTTAATAATCCCTGTCAAACCACAAACAGCCCAAATTACCTTCTTGACACAGAAGCTTTCAAGGAAGAGACAGAATCTCAACTTTCATTTAGTGACTACAAAAGCAAGCTGTCCGACTGGACAAATATTATTTTCACTCTTGACAATCTCTGTAGTAAAGCATGCTTTTTAATTTTCACTGAAGCTGCCAAGGGTTTCAGATAAGCTTCTTGTTCAGCGTAGATTGACTCACAGGATTAGCAAACCAATAACTGTAATTGAGTTTAAAAATCCAGCAGTTTTGAGGAAAAAAAAATTTGCAAGAAATGACAATAACATGTCATCAGCTGATTTAAGAAAAAGATGATACAAATAATTTCAACTTAGTAGATCTCATAAGATGTTTCAAGATCATTTTACATTTCTAAGATCGACCAAATGACTGTTCCTAACAGTGTAATACAAATCAGAATTTCAAGGAGGACAAATTTATATTCAATGACACTACCAACAGTCTAAAAAAGGTTAGCATTTGACAACAGGAAATATATTCAAGGAAAAGAAATTCTGCAGAAGGATGTCATCTGTAACCATTTTCCATTCTGTTGGCTTGTCCTCCAAGTAAGCTCAAGAACATAACACTCTGCTTCACCTGTATCAATTTAAAATTAATTGATTTCTCTGATGAGGCAGAGTATTGTATAATTAGCATTATGTTTTAAGTTTACATGATTAATCAAAGCATAATACATTTTAATACAAAATATTTTCTTCACATAGACACACCGGTCTCTAATTATCCGAGTCTGTTGCTTTTGGTATTTCAGCTGAAAGTTGTAATCAGGTTTTGAAATGCTACTAGCTATGAAAAAAGAAAACATAATAACTAAGATGCTTCCCATCAGAAGACTCATGTGAAGTATTTGTTCAAATATCACATACGATTGTCCCATGCATGGACTTAATTTAAGTCTAATCAAAGCCATTTTAAAATATTCTTTGACAACTAGTCAGTATGCACCAAAACAATAAAAGCCCATCTTTGATAGAACTGTAAAATCACAACAAAATGCAGAGACATACGCATAAATGTGTTTGAAGTTCCACAGCAGGAGAATTATGCTTTCTACTAATACAGAAGCCTTATAGCCCTCTTTCAGCAGTTTGGGCTGGCAACTGGCTCTTCATGAAGACTCACTCATCTTCGTGGCTAGACATCTTCCTACTTGCCTTCTAAATTTGGTTTTCTTCCTAGTAAAGAGAAAGAGTTTCAGAAGCTTAACGTTCTCCTTTAGCAGATCTAGTTAAAGCACAATCTTGATGCTCAGCAGTATATTGATTCTACCACATGCCTGCATCAGATTGATCTGTATGTTTTACCCTTAAGAAAGTATATGATCAAAAGATCACTTTAAGGAGGGAAAAAAAATACAACACACAGAGCAATGGTATTGTCAGTTTTAATTAAAAGGACATTGATTTAAGCCTCTTTATGTGAAGTGCTTAGCCCTGACTATGACTTGACTTCTAGTTAATTATCAGTTTATATTCAGAGAAGAGCTCATGACTGCTGCCAAGTAGCTTTATACATTAAAAACCCCACCAATTAGATATGATTTAGGGTTTAAATACTACTGAAATGAATAAAAATAGAAGATATGAGAGGCATCTGTAGAATACTACATTAAAGTACAAATATACTGACCGACATGAACGTAGGTCTACACCACAACTAGTTAGTGATAATCAGACTAATAGCAGAAAACTACACCCTGTGTCTAATTAGTTTTCAGGGAAACTAGGGAGGATAAAAACAAATCTTAAGACAGAGCCTTCTCACTAATTCACAAATCATATATAAATAATTTTTCCACCTAGTTTCACAGTAGTAACCTTTATCATCCCAGACTACCCTCTCCATATTACAATTCAGTTTTGTTATTTGATAACTTACATTATAAGATCTTACATCATTATTGCTTCGCAGGAAGTACATGTCATCCCAACCATTATGATGCTACAAAAGCAAAAGGATACATAATCAAGTGGCAATTTTAAAGAATATTTATTCCACAATATTTTTCCATTGCTATTGAAGAAGAATGAAAGAAAAACAAAGGAATAGTTACAGTGAAAGGAACTGCCTTCTTATCAAAGACATCTTAAACAATACTTTTAAGCTCCAGCCTGAAGCTCCTTATCATAGAGCAACAGTCTCACAGCTGCCAGCTCATGAAAGAAACATTCTGTATTCATGGTGAAGTTCATTTACCTTTATACTATTTACTACATGTGCCATGGAAATGCCACATGAGTACGGTTCAAGAATACTCAGAGATCATTCTAATACATTCAGCCATTTCTTCTGGGAAGATGCTGCGTCAAGAATATTATTTCAAGATATGATAGTGGCAAGAGCACAAAAAGGGAGAGAATTAATCATTACTAAATGCATTCACACTGGGAAAAAGAAGTCATTATTTGGAACCAGACCAGGTCATGAATTACTATACAAAAAGGAAAGATGCAGAAAGAGTTTTGTGATGCAGAAAGGGCTTCCTCCCCTCTATCTTAAAAAAACTACTATAAAATTTATATTAGATTCTTTAGTGCCAACGCCACTTAGCCTTTGGTTTCATGATTAAGAGGGTAAGTGTTCATAAATACCTTGTAATTGAGCACCATGCACTATGTATTATTTCTTACATAATTACAAGACTTGGGCAATCGGCCAAGAAGTGGAACTACAGGGTAAATAATGTGCACTGTGCTTGCCTATTACATCACAACAGAACTTCACTAAAAACTAAAAATCAATTTTTGGGCTTTTTTAAGGAAGATTACATTTCAAGTTTAAAGAAAGACAGGAGAGCATCACAAACTAAAGGAGTAATTTTTTTTTCCCAACGTCACACTAACATTTTAACAAATTTCTTTTTCCTTATATTATTGCAAAGAATATTACAACTAAAAAAAATAAGCCACATAAGAGTCAAGGAAGAAATCTATATTACAGTCAAATTTTTAGGATTTACTCTATATCTTTTTTAACTGTCTAAATCTGTAATAACTAACGAATAATAAAGCAATAACCTTAGCAGAATATCCTTCAGAGGCATGAGTTGCCATCAAATCTATTTCTATAGCTTCTAGCTCTAGTTCCACTGTGAACCAGAGATTCAATTCTATTCCTTTAACCTGTAAGATAAATTATGCTTGTGACCCAGCCAACAGCAAGCGGCCGCAAACCAAGATTCCCTTCACTGGTACCCCACCATGAAGCAGTCTGAAGGACATTATAAGCAAACCCAAAATATCCAAAGAGAAAACAAATTAATGAACATATTCTGAATAAAGAAGTGTTTGAAGATAGAAAAGTGAGGTAGCATTTATTGAAATGACATTTTTCCTATGTAAGCTGCTAATAAGTGATATCACAACACCCTTATGCTAATCTTTGGAGCTTAACATTACTCAGAAACTTTAAGTTTGTTCCAAATAAAAGAATGAAAAGTCAATAGTTCCGCAAGTGTATATCAAGCAAGGGTATTTAACAAATAATTTGATTTTTAGTATCAAGGCAGACCAGAATGATTTTTCCATTTTTTCCTCTATCACAGTGTGCACCAGGGATAAGTTTATTACAGTATAAGCACAGAGGGTCGTATTCCTCATCATTCCCTATATTTACATTACCTGACATAACTTACATGCACCTAGTTAAGTGGCATCTTAAGAATCTAAAACATTGTAGAGACTACTACTCTGATTTCAGACAATCCACTTATCTGTACTAATAGATGATTTAGCTCTCTAAACCAATTCTTCTTGGAATGATCACAACTTCTTATTCAAATTAGTTTTGGTACTATTACATGCTAATAGCAACACAATAAAAAGAACGGTGAGAAATTGATTGACTGTACTGGGAAAAGAGATTCAGACAAGTTTTTAATGAGAGACCACATTTTCTGACCCTTTTTTCACAGGATCCTACCAACCTTCTGTACCAGCCACTTAGCCCGTGCAAGCCCATTTATCCCTATTTACCAGGCAGCTGCATGAGCACTGATGGTGGCATGGGGCAGAAGTGAGTGACGGCTGCAGGCCTGACAACTTGGCAGAAGTACCAGTTTATGCTAGATTAAGTTGACGAAATGATGATGAAAATAATAGATTGCCTGCATTACACTTACAGACCTTGAGAAATCATCTCTACAGAGGAAAGGAAAGGACTGTGTTTACACATGCACGCTAAGATACCTGAACAGAAAATTCTATTACATTTAACAGCCACAAATTGGGAAAGCATATGTAAAAAATATCAGAAACTCCCCTGTTCATCAGCTTTTGTTTCACATATTTTAAAATTAATTTTAAAGTAATTTAAAATCTTTAAAATAATTTAAAATCTTGTAACAAGGCTTTCTGGTTTAGGTAGTAGGGTTCAATAAAAAAGTGGTTCTTTAGGTGGAAAATAATTAGGAATTATCAATAATTTATGGGGTTTCAGCTAAAGTACTCCAGGACTAAAGTTCCTATAACTCATAAGTTACATAGAAAGCAAAGAGAAAAAGCAAAGGAGGTTTGAAAAAACAGCATGTAATTTTCACAACAGGATAGCCCCTCTTCTTTGACCAATACTCTTACATCTGTGCTTTATACTAAAAACAAAGAAAACAAAGCCTGTACTGTTTCCATTGCTTTTATTATTTTTCTGAAAACAGAGGATATGAAAAAAAACAAAAACAAAACAAAACAAAAAACCCCCAAAAAACCCAACAATAAATCCCAAAACAAAACAACAAAAAAACCTCTGTATAAAAAGACAGTAAGGTTCTAACTCCAGCCCACAAAAGCCAAGAAATTTAAAGTTACTCTGACATTCAATCCTTAAATCATGCAAGGATGCTGCTTTTTTTTTTTTAAAAAAAAAAATGACAATGCAAGGTAATGACAAGTTGTCAGCCCTAACTTTGAATTGCCTGAAGTTTGTCATTTGGTGTTTGTGTCACAACCTTAATGTTATTTAAATGTAGTTTTTAGTATCTATTATTTAAAAAGGTCTACTTTATGACAGCAAAAAGCTTTGATGGAATAAACCTCAAAGTACACTGTAGTGCTAGTATGCCACTTCATTAGAAGTAGTGCATAAAACATATGCTGTTGACAAATCTAATTCATTAAAGTTGAGGTAGAAGCACTTTAAAGCAACTGGATGGCATCATTAGCTACAGTTCCTTTCATAAATTATTCCTCTTTTTTCTTTTGAATGATTTTGTCAGTGTTCCCTTTTCAGACCACGAATGTTTTTGCATTGAAGTTCAATACCTTCAACAAGTTTGGACAAGTTAAATAACTAGCTTATTTGCTAACACTGAAATTGTAAGCTGATTATTTCACCCATATTAACTAAAGAGGAATAAAATTAAGCAACAATGTATAAAGAGTTTCAGCTTTATCAAACATAAAATTTTACTATTAAGAGAAATAGAGATTACTGAGTACAACAGAGTAACACTCTGGCAGCAGTTTCCATTACTACTGAGATAACGTAGATTTGATATTGAATTGAATTCTGCAAGAGAGAAGATGAGGCACATCTGAGAGCTGATGGCTAGATGACATATTTAGTTATAAAAGGAAGAATTGCCAAATATATTATTTGGAGTTTCAGGCAAAGATCAAAATTGGTACAGAAACTAAAGACTACAATAAGGTCCATATATGCAGCAGAGCTGGTATTTGAAGCATAGTCCATGAGAGCCATCTTCCAAAAGCAAAAATACTTAACAAGTCAAAGCCTGATCAAATTCCATCTCAGAATATTGTTGCCTGTGAGAACATTTAAATTCTTATCTTGAGATTACTCCTATCACAGAGGTCTTTAAAAATCAAACGACAGTGCAGGAACTTCACTAAATATCTAAACAATAAAGTGAAAAAGGATGCTTTTGAGGACTAAATATACACAACTTATGATTAAATTCCACTAATAACATATCCAAAGAAATTCTAAACTACAGAAACTGAAAACTAAAAAAATCAAAGTTTCTTAATAAAGGACACTTCATTAAAGGAAAGACTAATTTACTGTAAAAGTTCTTTGAGAGACAACAAACTGTCCATTTCTAGTTCTTTATGCTTGAATACACAAATTTTCTTCTAAAGGTGTGCAAATGTTCTGCTCAATATGCCTGATTAAGTCATCCTGCCAACTACGCCACTCAAAGCAGCGCAGCAGAGAGAAGACTCTCGGTCAGGCATGAGATATATAACAGTGATTATCTGGATGACTATGATTAAAATTAATGCTAATACAGTATATAAATTTGTCAATCCAGTATATAATATAACTGGGTCTAAAGGGTTGTAATATCAGAGGATTGGCTAGAAACATACAGGTTTACAGTCTTTGGCCTTACAGAATGCACAGTTACAAAGCAACAAAGTACCTATTGAACTATTTCAGGATTTTATCTCTCTAGGTGGCTGGATCTCACTGCTTTTTTACTCAAACCTCTGAAAGTGAGTTTTCCCTGCCTTTAGGTTGGACATACCCTGCAGGCATCCCTGCTGGGCAGCAGGGGAAGACGTTTCACCCAGAAGCTGCCTGCAAGCTCAGGAGACCAGACTGCCCAGTCTCCAGCAAGGTTTTATACCCTTTTGCAGGCCAAGGTGCATCAAAGTCACTCACATGATCAGAGCTCTCCCATGCCTGGAATACAACAATTATGCAACCATGCAATTCCTCCTGCAATTCCTACCTAGTGTTCTTACCTTAGGACAATTCCCACCACATGTTTTTATCTTAGGACAAATCAAATTGTCTATCAGAGACAATCAAAAGGGAGGTGTTGTGTGTTGGAGGCGGGGGAAGGCGGATCTGCAGACAAAAACCTGGCTATCTTTTGTCAGGTTGTATTTACCACATTAGACAGCAATTACCATTTACCTCAGAAGATTAATGACATCTATGTCCACCATGCTACAACATAAAATTTTCCTAATTAGTCTCTGCATTAATCCTCATCCTGCTCTTTTCCCATTTTTTCCCCTCTCCTGCCATACTGTCATTACATGTATATGGAACAGTCGTGATGTTTAAGCTCTGCACCACCAAAACAGGGGAAGAGTTACCTGCAGGTGAGCAAGCATGAACATGTGTTCCACCTTATGGGACAACTCAACAGTTACAAAGAACCTCTATGATCCTCTGTTAACTGCTCAAACTTCAACTCAGCCCCAGTGAGACCCTACCTGGAGCACTGAGTCCATCTCTGTGACCCCCAACATTAGTAGGGCATGGACCTGTTGAGAGTGGAGATGAGAATGCCCTGGACAAACCTTATAATAGTCTTCTAATGTTTAAAAGGGAGCTTGTAGTGGGTTGAAATTAGATAACCTTTAAGGTCTTTTCTAACCATCCCATTCTATGCATCTTTGCTACCTTAAGTAGCAAATCCATGTCTGACACCCATATGTTGCAATCTTATATTCTAGTTACATATTGATAAAAACCCAGAACATTCTCTAGGGTGTTCCACTCAGGAAAACAAAGGCTTTTCTGATTTCTCAGTGAAAGCTGAAAAACAGTCCTAGATATTAGCGTTGAAAACAAGTTTCCATGGAGATTCCAATAATATAGTTTTAGACATATTTAAACTATAGTAAAAATATTGCTTATATTTTTTAGATAGAACAAGATAGACCATATGTGTAGTTTATATGTAAGGTGGCATGCTAAGAAACTAGAATTCTAATAGGTCAAGAAGAAATGGTTCAGGTTTTTAGCTTATTGGGTAATTTGTGTATAAGAATCCATGCACTGGGGAGAGATACACTTGCTCTTGTCCTCTCGCTTTTCTTCTCTCTCCTCACCGCCATCGCCCAAAGAAGACAGGAGTTGTAGCAGCAACATCGGCTCTCCAGGG